AAGAGTGTAGCTTAACCCCCTCATTTCATGAATGAGGAACTGAGGAGAAAATATGTGTTCAGCGTCGCATACGTGATTAGTGGAATATAAAAGCCGACATAAATTTAGAAGTGGGAAGTGATCATGCAGAGCTCGACCTAAACTAGCATACAAAGGAAGGAGACTAACATTTATCGAGTGATTATTTGAACTTGGGTACATTCACTTAACATCCCTGAGCCTCAGTTTCCTCAACTGCAAAATCAAGATTCTAGTAATAGCGGACATTGATATGATATTGACTATGTGCTGGGAACTGTTCTAAGCACTTTATGTGCTAACTCATTTAATCCTTACCACAATGACATGACATAGGTATTATTATTTTCCCCCTTTATTCAGGTGCACAGAAAGGCTAGATATTTACCTGCAGTCACCCAGCTAGAGTATTCATTTTCTATTGCTGCACTGCAAATCACCCCAAGCTTCATGTGTTAAGACAACATACATTTGTTATCTCACAGTTCTGTGGGTCAGGAGTCTAGGCACAGCACAACTAGGTCCGCTGCTCGGGGTCTCACAAGGCAGCAATGGAGGCGTCGACCAGGGTAAGGATCTGATCTGAGGCTTGGAGTCCTCTTCCAAGAGCACGTCATTCTTGGCAGAATTCATCTCCCTACTGCTGTGGAATTCAGGAGGGCTGAGTCTTCCAGGTCAGCAGGAGAGTTCTCCCACTCAGGATAATCTCCCTTCTGATTAATTGAACCTCAAATGATTAGGGACCTTAATATATCTGCAGAATCTCTTCATCTTTGCCATATGACAGAATATAATAAACATGGGAGTAATCTCCCATCACCTTTATTGTTATGTTCTGCTGAGATGAGAAGCCAGTTATAGGTCTTGGCCATACTCAAGGGGAGGGGATTACATAAACCTGTGGATCCCAAGGGGCGGAAATCGCAGCACCATCTTAGAATTCTACCTACCACAGCCAGTAAGACTTAGTTTAAGCCCAGATGGGCTCCAGGTCTGAGTCCATGCTCTCAATCACAATGACCTTCTTTCTCCTTTCGAAGCAAGTAAATCCACTTTATAACCTTGCATAGTATTCTAAGTAAGATAACACCCAGCAGATTCTTACTGGGTACTAGGCAATAACTAATTCTCTTCACACTTCCTGTTTTAAGAGTCTGCTTCAAGAAACCTTATAACCACCTGCAGTTTTGTATTTTCAGGAAGAGATTTCCAGTAGTCTCAGATAATATAAGTTATTTCAATTTGTTCATATTTTTTCTGAGGCAGAAATAAGCCTGGCATTTGGGATTTGAGACTTGAGTTCTCAAGAAATAACCATAGCTCTGCTTTTTGTCTTTGAAACAGATGAAGTGATTGAGAAGAAACGATAGACACCATCATTTTGTAGACAGGACAACATGGATCAGCCGTTAACGGTGAATTCCCTGGTAGGTGGCACCAACCAATATTTTACATGTGGTCCGAAAACCCAAAAAGAAGAACAGAAACACACTAAATGTGAAATGAGTCACAATCACTTCAGGAAGTTGAGCACTTGCCGTTTTCATCCATCTGCATGGTCCTCTCCTTTGAGGAAGTGATTAATAAAACCATCTTTGCTAGAATTAAAAATAATGCTTTTTTTCCCATGAAAGTGAAATTTTAATTTATCTGGTTCGATTCCAGGAGTGTAATCCTTTAGCACAACACCGGGGAGAAGAATTTCACAGATGACGTTGTAGCAGGTACTTCAACTTCTTTGTGCCTCAGCTTCTTCCCAGATAAAAATTAGAGGCTTACCTTGGGTGGTAATGACCAAGGAAATAATTTTCTATTTAACATCTAGATGCTGCTTTGGGATCTTTGTGTAAATGTGTGAATACTTGAAACTCTCATCCTTTTCATCTTTTCCCCTTACAGCCAACATAGTACACACCTTCTTGAGCTACGTCTTAGAAGAAATAACGTGCTGGAGAGGAAATAACAGGGCCCTTGGGATCCCATGAGCTTATTGTGTGTCCCAGATCAGTCTCTGAATGTGAATATAGGAACGTTATGTAATCTCCACGGCCCTGTTTTTGTACTTTGTGCCTTACAACTTTTGGAAACCGTAGTTTTAATGTTGCCAGCCTGTCCTTGGGGCTTGCTAAACGAAAGCTGTCATTACCCTCCCCCTCCTCCTGATGACCCTCCCAAACCCACTCACTACTCCTGTAGCCCTGGGAGCAGCGGTATACTGAATACCCTACACACACAAAGCTTAGCACCAGAACATAAAGAAATAGAGGGCCTGGTTCTTGCTCTGAAATAGGTTAGTGTTCTCTCTCTGAGGAAAAAGTCCTTCACAGATGCTCGGTTGCTTTTGAGATTATGTTTGAGGAGCAGAAAATTGTAGGAACTTTTCACTTTCTGACCCCATATTGTCAAGGCACTGTGGGATAATAAAGGCTGACCCATTTCCACCTCTGCAGAGGAAGGAGTCATCCTTATGGGGTGCCTTATGTGTTTTTCTAGAACATTATGTAGGAATAATTAAAATTTTAGTGGATATATCAATGTAAAAATGAACACTAAGGCTTTTTCCTTTGGAAAATTTATTTACATCTGAGAAGTTCATATGGAAATGAAACACTACAGATTGATGAAGAGTTTAGGCTAGGGCTTCCCTGGTGGCGCAGTGGTTGAGAGTCCGCCTGCCGTTACAGGGGACACGGGTTCGTGCCCTGGTCTGGGAAGATCCCACATGCCGCGGAGCGGTTGGGCCCGTGAGCCATGGCCGCTGAGCCTGCGCGTCCGGAGCCTGTGCTCCGCAAAGGGAGAGGCCACAACAGTGAGGCCCGCGTATCGCAAAAAAAAAAAAAAGAAGAGTTTAGGCTATTTCCCCGTTTATCTCTGAAATCAATTTTAAACTTAGGAAGGGCAGCACCATTCCCGTAAAGGGAAAATAAATCTTATTTTTTTCCTTCAAATAAAAAGATAATCTTATTATAATCATGTTGCTCCCTGTCTCTCTTCCTCCTTTATTTGATACATTTATTGGTTATCATCTGTGTGGCAGGGAATATACTACATTCCAGAGGACAGAGATGAGTGTAAAATGATTCCTTTCCCTCATGGAGTTCATAAGGAGTCAAAAATACTTGTATACAGGGCTTCCCTGGTGGCACAGTGGTTGAGAGTCTGCCTGCCGAGGCAGGGGACGCGGGTTCGTGCCCCGGTCCGGGAAGATCCCACGTGCCGCGGAGCGGCTGGGCCCGTGAGCCATGGCCGCTGAGCTTGCGCGTCTAGAGCCTGTGCTCCACAACGGAAGAGGCCACAACAGTGAGAGGCCCGCGTACCGAAAATAAAATAAAATAAAATAAAACCAAAAAACTTGTATACAAATAATTATAATTCAGGGTAGACTGTATAGTAATAAAAAATGGATGAGTTACTTTTGTGCACACAGGAGGCTAGAAGTCTGGTTTAGAAAATGTCCTAATTTCCATAGATTTTTTTTTTCCAGTAACTTTATGATGTCATTGAAACATTTACCTGTGGTCAAATAACAATATTTTTGGAACACAGTCAGGATTATTTGTTTACGTGGGGTTATGGCTGCTTTCACACCAGCGGAGCTGAGTAGCTGCCATGGAGACTATATGTCCCACTGAGGCTAAGAAACTTGCTATATGGCCTTTTACAGAAAAAATTTGGCATTTTCACCTTTCAGAAGCACTGACTTTTTATTGAAGAATAATTATCCTGAATGTATATGTTCCATGTTTTTTCAGATGTGTATAGATGTTGTTTTTATTAATAAAATACAAATATATTAATATCACAGACTTTTTTAAAGTAATTATTATTATTTTCTCAGTCAGGGAATAATTAATGGTGTAGTTACTATTATGTCGAGCTCTGAGAGTGTCTTTATGTTAAAAAAGGGGTGGGGGGAATAGCCATATGCTTGAAAAGGTTTTTCCTGGAATTATTGGTGGGGTTTTAATCACTTGCTAAAGATACAGGGAGGCCCTGAAAGCTACTTATAAAACCAGATGTGTTTTGGAATAGAATTGAATCCTGATAGTAACTTCGAGTCCAAGCCATCTCTTGGAGGCCCTTCAAGTATAATGAGATGGATTCCTACCCTGCTAGGAATCCATCTCTTGGTTTGCTTCCGTGAGGATATAAGGGTCAATGATATTTTACCTAAAATGACCTAAAACATTTGCATACCCAGGAACTGCCACATAATTGTAGCTGAAACCTATAAGAGGTCTTAGTCCAAAAGAGTGTATGTTTACCCTGGAGATGTGTATCTTTTTGGTGTGTAGACCACACGTTTAAGCAAAAAGAATTATTTTTATCGTATCATTAACTTTTATGAAAAACTTTCCTTAGGTATTGACGTCAGGTATTTAGTACAGAAAATACATGTATAATTTCAGTCATGTTCATTTCTTCTTATAACCAGAGATTCAAATTCGACTTTGCAGAAAAAGTTAGCCGCCATGCCGGACCACAGGGATGTTTCCCTCAGCCCGGAAGAGCATGTTCATTTCTTCTTATAACCAGAGATTCAAATTCGACTTTGCAGAAAAAGTTAGCCGCCATGCCGGACCACAGGGATGTTTCCCGCAGCCCGGAAGAGCGAGTCCGCGCCCTAAGCAAGCTGGGTTGTAATATCACCATCAATGAAGATATCACTCCGCGCCGCTACTTTAGATCCGGAGTAGAAATGGAGAGAATGGCGTCCGTGTATTTGGAAGAAGGAAACTTGGAAAATGCCTTTGTTCTTTACAATAAATTTATAACGTAAGTGTTTTATTTTGGAGGTCTTCGAAAGGAGACAATTGGGGAAAATATTTACATGGTATTTTGGTGAGACAGCTTAGATGCCGGCATGTTTTCGTATTCAGACTGAATTTACAATCTCCCAAAGCATGAGATGTCCAGGTTTTTAAGTTACCAAGTAATGTACTCAAAGGCGGCCTTACACCATCTCTGAGGCTTAAGGATGAATGATCAGGGATGGGGCGAAGCTCAGGGATGTCAGACACCTTTCAACAGGCCAGCGCAGTAACCAGCATGCCCCTTCCCTCTCTTCACAAATAAAATTTCTTGTTTTGTGTCATTCTTCCTTCACAGGAATGCAAGCTTTATGAAAGCAGACATCATATTGTAGCGCCATCTACAATACCTGGAATGTGCCATTAACATTTTAAATATTTAATTTGATGGGTTGAGACTAGGGGATAAATTGACGATCCTAGGAAGGAACTGATTCCGGGTCAGAGTGTAGTAGTTGGTTTCACATTGTAGTCATTATTTTTTTAAGGCAATTATTTAGCTGTGTAAGAATTGTATGTATAAAAGAGCTTCCAAAATATTGAGTGAAAGTGGCTCCATCAAAACAGCCATGTAAAAAAATCACACTTCACATTAGATAGATAGATATTTGTTAGTAAGATATTCTAGTTTGAACTAAAAGAAATGGGATTTGGGTTTTCTATACCAATTTGCCAGCTTACTGATTGGGAGGATCTCCTGTTACCAAAAATTATTTCATCTGAGCTGAACCCCTTACTTTTGTTTTAACTGGAAATCACATATTGATTAATTGTATTAGTTTAGTTGGGGACTTAACCTGAGAACATTCGAGAAGCTGAAAAGATCAACTGTTTTAAATACTGCATCCATGATTCTACCATGGGTGAAATTAAAGGCAGTTAATATGGTGTGCAAAGTGGGCTCTGCACTATATTCAAGTTAATTAACTTCTTGGAAATTTAGAGAATGGTTGGCAGCATTCATCCTACCTGGGAAAAATCAAGTTTCTATAAAGTTAAGCAATAACCATGAAATTGGACGTTATAAACTGTCATTGATAGCACACATTTTCCATTTTAGTTTCTGAACTATAAGTTACTAATTGATAATATTTTTTTCACCTTCTTCTGGGTTTTGCACACACACACGTAAGTGTGGTAAAGGGCCACTACACTCTCTGAGTTACTGAGTAATCAGAATATTTGAATTCTCTCCTGTCATTAACGATATGACCATAGGTAATTCAGTTATCCTCTGTGAGTTCAGTTCCTCATCTACATAAATGAAAGACTTATGGGTGAAAATCTCTGAGGTCTCTTCAACTCAAGTGTCTATGACTTTATGCTACTTACAGAAGCCTTAGGCAACTGACACACTTTATGTAATTTCTTTAGGCTTTAATCTTCTTATTTGAGAGATAAGAGTTTTAATACCATTCCTCTGTATTCTATAGATGAGATGATGAGTGTATGTGTGATTTGTAAACAACAGAACATCAGTAGTTATAACATATTAGTTGATCAAAAATAGTATTTGCTCTAAGAGCTTTTCATTCATTTAACAAATATTTATTGAACATTCATTATGAGAGGGACACCATTCTACAGGCTAAGAATACATCAATAAGGGAAAACAAAAACAGAATTTCCCGCCCTTGTGGAAGCAATATCTTCACTTTACCTGGAAGCAACGTATCTGGTTTGCTATACTGATTTCCCTTCATTTTTATTGTCCCTTGTTCCTCAAAAGGTGATGAAAAATAATTAACTCTTAATTAGCACCTCCTAATCCATTAAGGATTCTGGCTGACATTTCTCTGAGTTATGAATTTTCATTTAAGAGTTTTTAATATAGACACCATGGCACTGCTGATTCATCGGTGGCCCTTTGAGTCTTTCAATGGTGAGAAGGGGTTACATCCATCTTTCCAAACTCTTACATTTTCATGTGATCCTCAGTGTTGCCAGCACTACACATAAGTAAAATGATGCTCAAGTGGGACATAGTGCCGAAGACCCGAGAAAAACCAAAGTGATGTGGTCTCTTCAGGGAGCATCCCAACTTTAACTCTCTTAACCTCAGTGCTTACAGTTAACTACCCTGTAATGCCAAAATCATACTTGGGCCAACCTTTGACGGAAAGGCAAATGGAAAGAATACAGGGGGCTTCCCTGGTGGCGCAGTGGTTGAGAGTCCGCCTGCCGATGCAGGGGACGCGGGTTCGTGCCCCGGTCTGGGAGGATCCCACGTGCCGCGGAGCGGCTGGGCCCGTGAGCCGTGGCCGCTGAGCCTGCGCATCCGGAGCCTGTGCTCCGCAACGGGAGAGGCCACAGCAGTGAGAGGCCCGTGTACCGCAAAAA